AAGGCTCATTCTTAAATTATTTTCCATCAAGGGTCTTGGCGTCTCGGTGAGTCTCAGATTTTACTTTTCGTTGCGCCTATGTAAGGAGATAATAAAAATAATAGGAATTTGCAGTGGCAGACTGTCTACTGTCTCCAGATCAAAGTGAAATTTCCAAAATGCTGCCTTGCTTGATCTTGTCATTCTCAATGACTAGAAATATAGCTGTATTGACTATAACTTACAGCAACTTTATATTAATTAATTTTAATGAGTGGCTACTCTGTGAGGCAGAAATCTTCACTACTACAAGACCGTATACTACACATTAAACGGTGTGGCCCTTAAATATTTGGGATTCAATAAAGACATTTACACATGCAAAGTCTTTTCTAAGTTCAGAGACTAAACTCCTCATCTCTGAGACATGAAGAAGGAATTTTGTAGATGCCACCTCATTACTTCTGCTTACTTTATAATGTTTAATGTTGAGTAGCTCCTATCTTGCTTTATTTTTCTTTAAAATGTTTACCCAAACTTTTCAGCTTCCAATGAGCTTCATCATGAGTTTCCAATGATAAAGTATGCGCGAGGAGGCAGGTCCATTCCTCACGAGAGAGTCTTTAAACTTGACAACGACAACTTGGTAGGTAACAAAATAAAAAANCAATAGGTCTAGGTTTGACCCAGGCCGCTATGTCATGTTCTTGGCCAAGGCAGTACTTCTCTTTAAACTCATAGTATAAACTGAGTATACTAGAGACTCAAAACTTACAGTTTTATACTCAAAACAAATGGATGATATTCTTTTCTATTTTTTGCAGTGTCTCAGTGAAATAGCAAACATTTTCTTTGTGTTTCAGTCAAATTGAAGACTGCGACACTCATGAAAGTTTGGGAGAACTAAAGAACGCTGTGGAAACATGCTAGCAAACTTCCACTCTTATAGATAGAGACACAGAAAATGTTTTCTACTCCTTTTAAAAATGGTAATCAAATTAAAAATAACACAGCCTGGTGTCTTGCAAACTGATTTTACTTTGCTTGCAGATGAGAGAAATTATTTACAGCAAAGATCACCGAGTGAACCGGCATAAGTTTGATGGTGTGGATCCGGTTGTACTGTATCCTTTGAATTTTGTTTGTTAGTTTGTACCTTGCTGCTGAACCTGTGGTGTTGTTAATGATGTATATATACTTGAGATAATATTTTTTATGCTGCGGTTATAAAGAGGAGGCACTGTGGCCTCATGGTCAGTGCACTCACCTCCAAAGCGAGCAGTCCAGGCTCAAGCCCTGGCCGGGGACATTGTGTTGTGTTCTTTAGCAAGACACTTAACTCTCACAGTGCCTCTCTCCACCCAGGTGTATAAATGGGTACTAGCAAATTTAATGCTAGGGGTAACCCTGTAGTGGACTAGCATACCATCCAGGGGGGAGTTGAAATATTCCTACAGAAACTGGAGATTCTTGTAAGTGCAGACCTGATGGGCCACTTTGTTCAAATACAGACTTAACTTATTAATAAATTACTTTGACATCAAAATGAAATTGACATCAGCAGGAACATTACCTCTTTAATTTGTTTGGATTGTTTCCTTAATTCTCTTTATTAAGGTGGCTAAAACGACACTGGTCAGTGATGTCATCACGGCATGGTAAAGGAATCTCAGTGGACCAGGCAATGTCATTTGCTCATCGCTGCTGTAATGGAGCTAAGAGAAAACTCCTGAGAAACTATGTCAAGGTTAACACTGTAAAGCATTACTTACAATATTACTAAGTTAGAGGATTTAATACCATATGATTCAATCAATACTTCTCTGACATTCCCCTAATAGGGATTTTTAGTTGTAAATAAATATATTAGAAATAATTTAGTACTCATAATTTTAAAAGTTAATTACTATGACAATACTAGATTGATCTTTAAACTGATACATGGGTATTTAGTTACCTCTGAATGAAAATAATAACATTATAGAAATATTATTAGAATAAGTGTAATTTTTAATTTCTACTTTTCCACTTCAAAGCAAGTTACTCAGTAGTTTATCATTTACTAAAGATTTTTTCTAGCTGCAATTATTTGCTGTGATCATAATTAATATAGCAATTGAAGTACCAGAATATTTCGCTCTTCATATACAGGAGAGTATAACTATCCAAAACTTGCTATTGGTTTGATGTTGCAGTTGTTTACCTGTAAAAGGTTACTTTATGATTAATGTGAAAGCTCTGCTACTAAATTGCCCTCTGCACACGATTTATAAACCTTATTTATTTCACAGTTATATGACCTATATTTGTTTCTTACTATTTTCTATTTTTTTCCCTCCTTGATCAATTAGATGATCAACATTTTTTTATAATTTTACTCTTACCAGCTCATATTAAATTACTGAATCATTGTCACAAGAGTAGAATACGAGTTCAAACTTGTTATACACTATGAACTAGTCCCTTTGTTCTCTTTCTTTTAAGCTCATCTTGTTGGTTTTGCAGGATGTTCTGGAAGCTCAGTGTGGGATGGTTCAACACAATGAAAATCTCTTGTGGAACTCTTTTTTGATGCTTTTTAATGCCCTCAATGAACAACCACGGGTGCGTAGATACCAATATTCAGTTTTCAGAGGTTTTCCTTTCAAATGCTATTGGACCCTGCTAATTCTAACTTGGTTATTTCAGATTCCCTGCTGTTTTGAACTTGAAACCATTTCCTTTGGATTTGCCTCCCAGTCATTTACTATTGACAGTTTCAAACTATTTTTCATAATTCCCCTGAGAGGTTTAAATGTGGTGATGGAGAAAATTACTTGTCTGGCATTTGTGAGTGCCCTCAATAAATATGTAACCTGTCAGGAGTCATATGTTTTTAATTTGACAAGGTGAAACAACAAACAGAAATTTTCTTGCATATTTTACAATAATCCTTTGGTGATGAACCACAATAGAGTTTTTTGCTCACGGCTGCTAAAATTGCTGATATGACAGCTACACATGTATTGGAGTGCCATCTTGTGGCTACAACTGTACCAAGTTAAAAAAAAAGTAATTATTATTATTTTTTTGGTGGGAGAACAAAATCAAGACCCTTCTTGCTTCCACGAAAATTTNAAATATATTTAATTAATAGATAAAGCATTTACTGAAAGCTTAATAAATTATACTGTACCTGAGGAATTTGATTATCTGAGTGTGCAATTTTCAAACAAATGTCTCAGTCAGTAACATTTATGAAACAAAATGTGATATACATGCTTTTGCCTTAACTTGTTCACTAGTTTACATGTTGTGGTTACAGTTTAATCAAAATTAACATTGTCATCATTTATTGAACAAGAGTATAATACGGTATGTTTCTTTCAGGAATCACTTAGTATACCAGCTTGTGCTAGGCTGATGTCAATCCATGACAAGTTTCACATGATGTACAAACAGAAATGTGCTGGAGACGACCCAGAGTCCTACAGATTGAGCAAATCTTTCCTGTCATATAATGGATTCCTGAGGTAACCAGAGTACTGAGACTCATTCTTTGTATTAACACAACTTGTGACAACTTAATATAAACTTACACTTCAAACAAAGGGCAGCTTAACTTGGAACTACGCAAGAGTCTTTGGTAATGTATACCTTCTGTAGGTAACTATCTCTCTTGTGTATCTCTCTTGTGTCTTAATATAAATTAAGACACAAACTTATCTGTGTTCCTGGACACCCAAACCCCATACAGTTGTATTTTCCCACACTCTGAAATTTGGTTTTGCACTATACATGGCCCTGTGTGCTTCAAGGAGTAAACTTTCTCTACCATCCTGATGTACTCTTTGCAAAGTCTTGTAACTGGCTCAACTGATTAAATTTGCCTTCTTTGCTTCAGGACTGGCAAAGAGTCATTATTAAATGTGAATTTTTATTATATAACTCAATTTCTTTATAATTTCAGTTATCTTCGTAGTAAAGATAACTCTCCTGTTAATCCAGAGCATAGCACTGTTTACCAGGTGAGCATATCTAAATATATGGTTAATTAACTGTCTTGGGAATTCATCTTGTTTTTGTACATAATTACAGTTCTTTTCTGACTTTGAGATTATACATGTAGTTCAATTCTGTGGTCTTTCTATTTCAGGAAATGGATCATCCATTGACTGATTATTTCATCAACTCATCTCACAACACATATCTAACTGGACGGCAGTTGAAAGGCAAATCCAGTCTTGAGGCATATGTGAGAGCTCTGCTTCAGGGCTGTCGCTGTGTTGAACTTGATTGCTGGGATGGACCAGGTAGATTTGATATAAATGCACTTGTTAACTCCCTTGTAGGGTTATATCTAAAACCTTTTTTTGGCTCAAGCGTTCTGAGGTACATTCTACTAGCAATGCAGTGAGTTCTGTGTGCCATGAAGGAGAGCTAAAAAAATCAATATTGTCCCATCTAGCCTGAGACAAATCATGTAGTTTTTTGGTACCTTTTGTTTATTAATAATTGAATTAATCTGGTTGAATGTCAAGAAAATGTCATGGTGAATGTCGAACTGTGTGCATGTCTAAAAGACAGCTGGAACGTGGGGCTGGTTGGTTTTTCAGACCAATTATGTCAGCCCATTAAGCACTATGGTCAAAATCTAATCTAAATCTATTCACTATACTGATACATGCCACCTCACAGTACTGGTTTATTTTAGAACGTACGTTTACATTTAGATTTAATATATACATATGCGTATACGTATTCCATGTTTTGATGAAAATGTGAAATGTGAAATAATAACTGCTCTAGGATCAGCCTCTTTTGGTCATCTTTGTTTTCCAGATGAGCCTGTCATTACTCATGGACTTACACTGACTTCAAAAATCAGGTTTAGAGATGTAGTGCAAGTCATTAAGGTAATAAAGGTTTTTGTTTTTAATTTTATTCCAAACGATCTTAGTCTTGGACAAATTTAGGTCCTGTTTGCTGTTAAGTTGCTTGAAAATAATAGCTTAATATATAAAGTGAAAGTGTTCTGCAGACAAAGACGATATTTTTGCAACAAGCTGACATGCCAGGTTTGTAACAAGGCTAAAACAAAGCTTTTGTGGAAATAGATTGCCAATTGAAAAAAGTCTTGTTCTGTTTTGCTATACATTGTAACATCCATGTAGCATTTGTTATAGTATTAACCTGCTCATTGTGTACATCACATTATTATAGTGTCTAAGTTGTGGCGCTTCTTTTGAGGACTGCCCGCTTTGACAAAATCATAACATTTGTACATGTAAAGGATATGTGTGCTGTAGCAAGCAAATGTTGACAATGAAGTATAGTCAGTTNAATTAAGGTCCTGTTTGCTGTTAAGTTGCTTGAAAATAATAGCTTAATATATAAAGTGAAAGTGTTCTGCTGACAAAGACAATATTTTTGCAATAAGCTGACATGCCAGGTTTGTAACAAGGCTAAAACAAAGCTTTTGTAGAAAGAGATTGCCAATTGAAAAAAGTCTTGTTCTCTTTTGCTATACATTGTAACATCCATGTGGCATTTGATATAGTATTAACCTGCTCACTGTGTACATCACATTATTACAGTGTTTAAGTTGTGGCACTTCTTTTGAGGACCGAACTCTTTGACAAAATCATATAACATTTGTACATGTAAATGATATGTGTGCTGTAGCAAGCAAATGTTGACAATGAAGTATAGTCAGTTTTAACTGAAAAGCATCATTTGTAATCCAACTGAGGCTGGTTTAGATTGAGNAAGCTGACATGCCAGGTTTGTAACAAGGCTAAAACAAAGCTTTTGTGGAAATAGATTGCCAATTGAAAAAAGTCTTGTTCTGTTTTGCTATACATTGTAACATCCATGTAGCATTTGTTATAGTATTAACCTGCTCATTGTGTACATCACATTATTATAGTGTCTAAGTTGTGGCGCTTCTTTTGAGGACTGCCCGCTTTGACAAAATCATAACATTTGTACATGTAAATGATATGTGTGCTGTAGCAAGCAAATGTTGACAATGAAGTATAGTCAGTTTTAACTGAAAAGCATCATTTGTAATCCAACTGAGGCTGGTTTAGATTGAGTTGTGCCACACTTGTTTTTCAGTTTAACTCCTTGAACAATTCAGTCAGATGATGCTTCAGTTAAGGCCACGCTGTTGTGAATGAATGTGGCATTTATTCAGGGGCAACACCTTTTAATATTTTTGCCCATATAAATGCTGGACATAGTTGGGGGCAGGGCTTAATCATTAAGTAAACATGATATACATTATTTTGTGCTTTCGTTTAATTTCAGGAGTATGCATTTGAGGCTTCAGAGTTTCCTTTGATTTTGTCCTTGGAGAACCACTGCAATGAACAGCAACAAGTAGGTCCACAGAATTGCACAATGGTTTTTACCCTTTTCCAAATATTCCACACGCACATTGATTCAAATGAATCTGACAGTCCAGTAGTAACCTGCATGGCAGTTGTTTAAAGTTAAAGTTGAACGTAAATCATGAGTGATGGGTGAGGGGAAGGGAATTTAACGTTCCCCATCTTCTTCTCCTTCTTTCTCCCCTTTAAACACCTGCCATGCTGTTTTTTGTTTTGTTTTGTTTTGTTTTTTTTTTTGCCTTTCACTAACAATACTACAATCAACTTTCTCTAAACAAGTATGTCTGTAAAAATGTCATCTGGTGTTGGTCCCTACACACATTTTGCAGTCATTTTATTGTATCTAATCTTTCTATATGCTAGACACCCCTCTAAGATGGACAGTTGGAGCTAGTCCTGATGGTGTCTGTCTTAGTGAGAGATAGCTTTTCTAATAGAAGAAAATTCAGTTTGAAAATGAAATATACATGTGATTATTACCCCAGCTGTTGAGACAAATGCATCACTTATGCTCCCCAATTCTTTCCTGTAGAAGATTGCTGTAGTCAATTTTTAGCCTGTGTCTGCTAATAAACTGGGAGGCTGGCACTTGTTTTTCCAAAATGCAAAATAATGTTGTTCTCTTAGTAACTAACTTGGTTGTTTAGATCTTAATTTTAGTGCATTGTAGTTAGCTTTTAAAGTATTTAGAAAACTTCGTTTGAAAACTTCATTTGAAATAAAGGAATTTATGGAAATGTTCAATATTCAATTCCCAGGCAATCATGGCAGACATATTTGTCACGGAGCTTGGAGACATGCTTGCTACAAATAACCTTTCTGATGAGCTTGGCATCCAGACCCTTCCTTCTCCCAAAGATCTGAAGAGAAAAATTTTACTCAAAGGCAAAATTAAAGTGAAGAAAAAGGTATTACCAATTTTAACTATTATATCGATTAGAAATAATAAAATATATCTTTTAATGCTTACAATTAGAAATAAAATGTTATTTTTTAATACTGAAAATAATTTTTATTTGACAACACTCTCACTGATCCGTCACAGATATCCTGTAAGCATGTACATCTTGCAACATTGTTCACAACATTGCTCGCAATGACTAAATTGCATCATATGCCAGTCCCTGAAATTGTTGTATGCAATATTGCCTGCAACATAATACTACAGACTAAAGTAGAATTTTATGCTACTTCTGCAATGATATTGCACACAATAATTTCAGAGGTAGACAAGAGGTAAAAATGTTGCACCATTTGTCTGAGCATTTAGTGTTTTTTTTGGTCAACTTGCGGGAAATGTTTGGAAAGAGGTGGTATAATACTTTTTTTTTTTCAACATTGCAGCATAAGATATCAACTTCCATCTGGCCTGGAGTGACGGTCAACCCTATAGCTGTAAGTTCTTCCATTGCTGAATTACTAATAAACTTGTTAGATGAATAGGGACCTCAGGTCATATCAGTATAGACAGCAGCCACTTGGAGTGATATATTTCAGTTCTAGGTGGGACATTACTCCTGTACAACCCCAAGCAGGGAAGGCTTTTGTTATGAAAAAGTCAGAGTTTGTTATATAAGAAACGTTTTCTCACTTTTTTTGCAGCAGAAAGTCAAATGCTGCCTATAACAGTAACAATAACAATAACAATGACAATGACAATGACAATGACAATGACAATGACAATGACAATGACAATAACAATGATAATAATAATTACATGTATGTTAATAAACTAGGATATTTATAATACTGATCCATTTTCTGTGCAAATTTTGATTGATTTTGCCCTGAATGTGACTTGTTACTTGACCTTTTATGGTTCAATGTGAACAAGCTACCAATACAAATTATGTAGCATTTCATGTACACCAATTTAGCCATCTACAGTAGTACAGCAACTTAAATTTGCATATTGTGTTGTTTTCTTGAGACTTTCAAGCTTATTGGTTTTACTTCAAATAGGGTTTCTCTCCAAGGGTAAAGAAGACCAGTAAAGTGCTTGTGTCTAGTCAGGTAAGCCAAATTGATAGATATAAGGTGATTGTTAGGTTGATTGATTTATGGATGGATGGATTGACTGACTGACTGACTGACTGACTGACTGACTGACTGACTGACTGACTGACTGACTGACTAACTGACTGACTGACTGACTGACTGATGGTCTTTTTACTAAGTAGAGGGCAAACTGCAAACTGTGCATGATACAAGTACAAGTTTAATTTGATCTTTTCATCAGTATCTCACCACAGTGTAGTACTGAGTTATTTGTACTCATCATAGTTGCTCAGACTATTTGCAATACCAAACCCAGATCCAGAAGCCAATCTGATTGAATTTTGGTGAAGCAAAATCTTCAAACTTTAGGTCTTTTATTAGGTTACAGTGTGTACATAGTTGTTTAGCTGCAAGCACAACTTCAGGGACTAAACTCTTTCTTTGTGTAGAATGTATTCCATCACTGATTAATTACCCTGCAAGTCAGTTATAGTTTCTCTTTTAATTTGCTGAGCCATCATAATTTTCTCTTGTGCTTGCCCTTATTTTAGACTATCCAGTTGTTTTCACTCCTGTCACATCATTCACACCAACCAAACCAGTTTAGATAAGCCAAGTGTGTCATTTGGAGAACGAAAGACTTCCTGCAGCAGTAACCAGAATTTTACCCAGGGTTTAAATGGTGTTTACTTTGGTGTTTTATCAGAAATGTCTGTGTTTGCAATAGCGCTTAAATCATGGAACTCCCTTAATGAGACCAAGTTTGGGCCATGAAATTGTGATGGTATCAAAGGGGCTCTCATAATACAAAAAATGAGGGACTAAGCATGCTTTCAGGCCCAAAAAAGTAGTTGTAATAACAATGTGCTCATAGTAATAGCCCTAGTGGTCATAAGGCAGAGTTCTACTGTGAAAAACCTTGATGCACCAGATCAGTGAATATGGCAAAGTGATCATTGCAACTTTGTTTGTGATTTCATTTCATAGTCTGAAGCAGTATTAGCAAGATCAGAATCATCTCACTCTCTTGGCCCTAGAGTACGATCAGTGACTACCACAACATTAGATGACAAGGTAGGTGATTACTTGCCTTATGCCAGGATATTACAGCTGAAGGAAATTACTAATTAAAAAGCATGTTGTATTTTGTTTTTGTTATGTCAAAATGCGTAGTTTTTAGCTCTGAAGTAGTAATGTTTGTTTTTACCTCTATTTAAATTTATTTGTTAGTTTTTACCTTGCTAATGAGCATGTGGTATTGGTAATAATACTTAAACTTGAGATTATGCTTCAGTTAAAAGGAGGCGAGGTGGCGTCATGGTTGATGTGTTCATCTAGATTTAGCAGTCTAGGTTCAAGCCCTGGCTGGGGACAATGTGTTGTGTTCTTGGGCAAGACACTTTACTCTCATAGTGCCTCTCTCCACTCAGGTGTATTAATGGGTACCTGTGAACTTATGCTGGGGGGTAACCCTGCAATGGACTAGCATCCCATCCAGGGGGAAGTAGAAATATTCCTAGTTGCTTCATGCTACAAAAACCAGGATAAGCTCTGGCCTGATTGGTCACTTGGTTCATATCCAGACTTTACCGTACCTTTTTACTTCTATTTAATAATAGTTATTCATTTTTGTTCATTGAAAATACAAGCCTGATGTATCATTAAGTATATAATACTAACTCCTTTTCTTCTCTCCTAGTGTTCTTTCATTCTCTCTATTTTCTGGCCCAGTATTCTTAAGTTTGTACTTAAACTTTTCATTCATCCTTGCCCTTTGAGGTTTGTGTAAGTAGTTTTGTTCACATCTTTTGTTTCGGTAATTGATGTCATACTTACTTCTTGCTCCTTTTCTTGCAGGGATCAACAAGTGAAGAACCATACAATATAGTAAGTCTTAATATAGTGTTGTTGCCATGTAATGTCAGATAAAAGTACTTAGCAATATGTTATGGTCAGATACTAAGTTTACATGACCAGTAACATGAAAGGTAGCCTAGGTGAATTGATCATTCTAGTTTTGTGACCTGAAATATTATTTTTTCTGATAGCACAAAATAACCCTGGACAAATTGTTAAGAACTGTGATTTCAAATGTCTACTTTGGTCAGGTTTTTTAAGGTCTCCAGACAGGGTTTTGTTTAAAATTGATACTCATTATATCAATTTGTATTTTTTGTCACAATTTCAAGGTGGGTGTTTTAATTTGTACAATTTTAAGAAGCGCCAAGCCACGCTTAAAATATTTTGAAGGTGGCATCACCTTTATATTTGTGATTTTGTGGTTCCACAGGTTCCATTGGAGGATGCCATGGGCAAGCTAATAGTGTATTGCCGTGCAGTGCCTTACAAAAAGAATGAAGTCTCTGAGGACTGCTGTGAGATGTACTCCTTTAATGATGGTGCTGCACAAGATTCTATTTCAGCTCATCCAAGAGGTATGAGGAACAGATGAGATTACACTGAATAGTGCATTTCAATAGGCGGATTCGGCTAACATGTTTACATTATTGTTGCCACCCAATTCAGACCATGTCATGATTCATTTGGAAGGTTACAATATTATTGTACAATTTGTCACACGCAAGTGATTGTATGGTGGTATATAGAAACAGAACAACTGTATCTTTGCAAATGAATCATCACATGATGTGAATTTGGGGCACAGCAAGGATGTGAGCATGTTAACAAACTCTGTCTATCTTGCCTTCTTGGTAAAATATACAGAAATAACTTTATTCTAGAATAGTGTTTAAGGCTATCCATAATTGTCCATGCACTGTTTCATTAAAATAGATAGGTTTTAGCAGATTATTTTTTACCAACTTAACAGAAAGCCTGATAACAAAATTAGGATTCAGTTTGCTTCCAGAGCATGACTTCAAACCTCATTGAAGCAGGTTTTCAGACCTTCTTAAATGTTTGCTAAATTGCTACTAAACACCAGCTGCAAAGATATTCTCTTAAACTAAATCATTTGCTTGATGCATTCATTATATTATCGTATCAAATTTGCAGTTCTGTCAGTATTTTATTACCAAAGGACTCTTTCTCAAAGAGCATGAACAGTGAGAATTTGAAGCTAACAATTCATTTAGTATTAATAGCATGAAGTTTATTAATCAAACACCAGATGCCATTGTTTTGCTTTGTAGTCATTTTGTCTTTGGCAAACAAACACATTGTAAGGACCTATCCCAAGGGTTCAAGAGTGGACTCCTCAAATTATAATCCGCAGGTCATGTGGAATGCTGGAATTCAGATGGTGGCCATTAACTTTCAAAAGCCAGGTGACATATTGCTTTTCTAGATTGGTGCAATTTCTCCTAATTTCTCCTATCATCATTATCATTACCTTTACCATTACCATTGTCGTGGTCGTGGTCGTGGTCGTGGTCGTGGTCGTGGTCGTGGTCCTGGTCCTGGTCGTGGTCCTGGTCCTGGTCCTGGTCCGGGTCCGGGTCCGGGTCCGGGTCCGGGTCCAGGTCTGGGTCCGGGTCCGGGTCCGGGTCTGTTTTTCACCAAGTCTATTCAATTAGTTGTTATCTTGTCCTGTTTGTAAACTGGAATTTCCCACTGATCAGTTGCAAGCAAAGCAAGAAATTACTTAGTCTATGTTTTATTTGATGTGATTACTTTCCCTGCTCAATCGCCAAGGTACTGCTTGATGTAAGAGTCATCAATGGTCCTGCACACCTGGTCTATTTAAACCACTCATTCTTTATTGACCAGTCTACCACTTTTTACAGATTCTGGCATGCACCTGAATCAAGGAAAGTTTAGAAAGAATGGAGGTTGTGGTTATATTTTGAAACCAAATTCTCTTAGAGACAGAGGTGAGGATAAATGATAAGGGTAAAAAAACCCTTAAAGTGTCTTTGTCTGTGCATCGTGATCAACATTTTTGCTTCTTGTGAAAAGTTGATAGGTATTAGTTTTTGCTACAGACTATCATGGATTTGATGTGTGTCCCTGCTGCTGTTGTTGGGTTAAAATAGACTTGGGAGTCCCAAACAGTTAAGTGAATAAATGATATTGAGTGCTGTAATCACAACATTTGAAGATAGTGTCCTTATCATTATGATTGTGGAAGGTAGAGTAATGGTTACGATATTGGCCTCTGAATCAAGAGGTCTGGGTCCAAGCCTGGCCAGTGTCACTGTGTTGTGTTTTTGTGCAAGACATCTGTACTCTGAAACCTGGAATTATGAATGGGCAACGGCAAATGGTTAGCTAGTACAATTAGTACTGATTCATCGTTGGTGCAACCTGATCTGTATCTGATCCAGGGGTAGTAGCAGTGTGTACTCTTAGTTACCGGGAGGTGCCATGGGGTCATGGTTAGGTTACTTGACTCCTCGTCAAGTGCCCCAGGGTCAAGCCCTAGCCAGAGTTCGTTGTGTCACATTCTTTTGCAAGTCTCTTTACTCTCGGGGTGACTCTCTCAACTCAGGTGTATAAACGGGTATCAGCAAATAAAATGATAGGTAGGTGGGGACAACCTTGCACTGGATTAGCATCCCAGGGGAGTTTGAATAATCCTAGTCACTTCAAGCTACTGAAATGAGATGAACCGCGGCACCTATGGGACATTTGTACCCATGCAGACTTTGCAGAATTGAAGTTGGGCACCGCTATGGTGACCCACCTGGTTCTGTTGAGCCTTAGGATTAAGATGAGCATTACCTCCTTCGTTTGCAGTACATTATACCATGGGAGTTCTAGAATGTACTTAAATNCCTGTTCAATCGCCAAGGTACTGCTGGATGTAAGAGTCATCAATGGTCCTGCACACCTGGTCTATTTAAAGCTCTCATTCTTTATTAAGCAGTCTACAACTTTTTACAGATTCTGGCATGCACCTGAATCAAGGAAAGTTTAGAAAGAATGGAGGTTGTGGTTATATTTTGAAACCAAATTCTCTGAGAGACAGAGGTGAGGATAAATGATAAGGGTAAAAAAAAAACGTTTAAGTGTCTTTGTCTGTGCAACATGATCAACATTTTTGCTTCTTGTGAAAAAGTTGATAGTTATTAGTTTTGCTAGACTATCATGGATTTGATGCGTGTCCCTGCTGCTGTTGTTGGGTTAAAATAGACGTGGGAGTCCCAAACAGTTAGGTGAATTAATGATATTGAGTGCTGTAATCACAACATTTGAAGATAGTGTCCTTATCATTATAATTGTGGAAGGTAGAGTAATGTTTAAGATATTGGCTTCTGAATCAAGATGTCTGGGTTCAAGCCTGGCCAGTGTCACTGTGTTGTGTTTTTGCGCAAGACATCTATACTCTGAAACCTGGAATTATGAATGGGCAACGGCAAATGGTTAGCTAGTACAATTAGTACTGATTCATCGTTGGTGCAACCTGATCTGTATCTGATCCAGGGGTTAGTAGCAGTGTAGTACTCTTAGTTACTGGGAGGTGCCATGGGGTCATGGTTAGGTTACTTGACTCCGAGTCGAGTGCCCCAGGGTCAAGCCCTAGCCAGGGTTCGTTGTGTCATATTCTTTGGCAAGTCTCTTTACTCTCGGAGTGACTCTCTCAACTTAGGTGTATAAATGGGTATCAGCAAATATAATGATAGGTAGGTGGGGATAACCTTGCACTGGATTAGCATCCCAGGGCAGTTTGAATAGTCCTAGTATCTTCAAGCTACTGAAATGAGATGAACTGCGGCACCTATGGGACATTTGTCCCAATGCAGACTTTGCAGAATTTGAAGTTGGGCACCGCTATGGTGACCCACCTGGTTCTGTTGAGCCTTAGGATTAAGATGAGTATTACCTCCTTCGTTTGCAGTACATTATACCATGGGAGTTCTAGAGTGTACTTAAATGCAGGGCTGCAGCCAGAAAAAATTGTGACTGAAGCAGTGTTGATTGTTTTGTTTGTTTATATATTTGCTAGCAGTGTTTTACTTTCTCCTTTAAAAAACAAACTAAAGCAACAAAGACTAACGACATGACTGACACAAGTGCCACAGTTTGCCTGTTACTGGCTACGGCCCTGAAATGTGATTGATTTTGACCATGTTGGACTATTAACTCTTGACAGAAAAGTCGAATTACCACCCAATGATCAAGGAGAGCCCGAAGAATGGAAAATCCTGTTACTTCACAATAGAGGTAAGGTGTAGATTGTTTTAGGAACGGATTGACAGTGTCATCTAGGTATTAGTGTCTTAGTGAAAGGCTTACTTAACTCTGGTAGGAAAAGAGCTTGTTTTCAAACTTTTTGATTGGGAAAGGAGCGGTGTTATGAGAGGAGGGGGCTTCTGTAAATTTATAAATCAGAAATAGGAGACTGTTTACAGTTTATTACGTTTAATAAAATATTTTTCTCTACATATAAGTACTAAAGTAAACCTGTATTTGTAGGTGTTGTCAGGGCAATATTTACATGCTGATGAAGACTCTCAGCTTGCAATTCGTGTTGACGTGGAGACAGTTGGAGTCGCGGAAGACTGTGCAGTACTCAGCACTGAGGTATGAGTCACTGTTTTGGTGCAATTCGTATCGTTTTCGCCGGACGTCTTCACTGAAACTCGTCAACTTCAGGACTCTACAAGGTTTTATATGAGGAGGCTCCGCCCCCACGTCCAACCCCTTACCTTTCTGTATACAGTTTGACAGAAAAGGTACCCCTTTCTGATACCTACTTAAGAATACTCTATCCCTTTTCTAAACCCTTTGAATAAAGCGAAGAACAATATTACGGAAAAACATCAAGTATTTTTGACTTGTGAAATCCCTACCCTTTTATAGGGCGGAGCCTCACCGCATAGGCGATTATATGGAGTACCCGTCCCCCGGGCTTCGGGAAGGCTATTCTTTAGTGAACCTGAGAACGCTGTCCATTGAACCAAAAATTCCTGAACGTTCAAAACAGTGGTACAGTACGGAAATTTCCTTGGAAGTTTCCGGAAAATCCGAAATGTGAACCATTCAAACAAAAATTCCGGGATGAAAATCAAATGAAACAGCGTTTCTTTGAGGAGATTTTCGAAAAGTTGAGTTTAGTTCCTGAGGTTGTCCTCTTTTCCGGAAATTGTGGATAATGCTGTTCCATTCACCACTGAAAATGTTAACTCGAATCTTTTGTTGAAAAGAAAGCGTCCTGGATCATAGTGAAACTGTCTTCC